AAAGGTGACTTGCTAAAACCAAATAGAAAAAAATGTTTTTTTTTTTAAAATAAAAGTTATAATTGGTGAAACTTACTTTTTCTATAAAGAAAAATGAAAATGGTCCGGACCCCACTGGGATTGACTCCCAGCCCCAGTGGGCTCTGATTGGTCAATAATTTTTTTTTTTTTGTGGAGCCAATGACCAACACCCACATGTGTGTGGCGGTGAGACTTTACTGGGGTCTCAATCAAAGTTGAAAGAAAAATTGATGATTGCACATGATAATTTATATTTAATAATTTTAAATTTTCACATATATAATATGGGTTTGCGTTGCGTGGTATTTTTATTGAAGCCCGCTTGAATTTAATTTGAGTTTCAGAATTTAAGCCCAAATTATCCCTCATCAAATTAAAAATATATGTTGTCTATCTTCAAAAATATTTGGGTTAGAATTGAATTGCTCGAGTTGACCTATCTAAATTTGCAATTCTAGCAAAGAAATTGAATATTACATGATTGAGTTTATAACAAAGTAAAAATTGACACATAAATTATATGTCAATATGATAAAATTATGAAACTTATATTGGCTTCGTTTGGGAAGTAAAAGTTGGGGTTTTTTTTGGCTATTTTAGCCACAAAAAACAAAATAAGCTTTTTTAGTCCAATAAAACAAAACATCACATCTAATCCATAATCATTACATTATTTCTCTCACAAAAAAGCAAAAAAAGTTTAAAACTCTTCCCAAACCAGGCTTCTAAGCCCCAAGGTAAACTAGTCAAAAAAATTAAAAAGTCAAAAAATCAACCTACTTCCCAAACGAACCCATTATTTGTAATTTGCATATAAAATCTTAACCATCTATATTATTTTATTTAATAATACCTTATTAAATTTTCACAACTCATGCAGAGCACTAGTTCACCACTAATTTTCAAAAAAGCAAAAAAAGGGGCTTGTTTAGCACTTCTCAAACAACAATGATTCATCCCACTAATTTGAGAGCACTAATTGACCATTAATGAAGTAGAAATTTAAAAAAAAAAGAAAAAAAGAGAGCAAAACATCCTATCGTGTGAGACCCACATAACTTTAGAGCTATTAGTGCTCATCTTTTTAGTGGTCTCACTCATTTTTCCTTCTCAAATGATTTTGTGAATAAGTTAAAAATAAAGAAATAAGTTAAAGGGTTATTTATTTCTATCTTCTCAAAACAAGTCTAGGCCTCTTTTGAGAACAGGCTAATTTAATAACTTTTTGGTTATTTGGCTAAAAAGGTAAGTAAAAAAAACTTGTATGTTTAGGATGACTTTTTGGCTAATTACGAAAAGATGTGCAAAAAGTAGAGAGAAAAGAGAATCTTTGACTTTTTGGTATGGGTTGTTGACTTTTTGGCTAATTTAATAACTTTTTGGCTAATTAACTAAAATAGCCTCTTGCCAAACGAGGCCTAAGTTAATGTAAAAGAAATTTCAATAAAAATTTAAAATGGCACCACACAAACAAACATGGCCTTACCCAATTTATAGCCGTATGATTTATGAGCATGTGAAAACTCCCTGCATTGATTGTTTACACCAACCAAATTAATATGCAACCAAATTATTAAAGAGAAATGAATGAGGCCTCACATTTCAAGGAACTCAAGGGTAGTACTGAGAAGTGGGTTAGTAGTTACTTAGCCTCTGTTTAGTAAGTTTTCAGTTTATATTTATAAAAATTTTAAAAATTGTTATAAAAATTTATTTAATAATTTTTTTGATTTATAAATAGTTGTCTCAGTTTATAAATTTGAGAAAAAAATGTAAACTAAAAAAATGAGTTTACGTTTTCAGTTTTCAATTTTTTTTTAAATAATTTTTTTTTCAATTAATTTTTTTTTCAATTAAATTTTTTTCAGTTATTTTTTTTTTCAATTTAATGTGTGTGATCCCATTATCATAAATAATAAAAATAAATATAAATATTTTAGGCCTAAACAAACATGTTTTTTAGTTTATGTTTTTAAAATTTTTTAAACATTTTGTTCAAACCAAACGCGTTTGTAATTTATGTTTTTTTAAAAATAAACAAAAATCAGTTTATAAAATTTTTGTAAACATAAACAAAAAACGTAAATATTACCAAACGCTACCTTAACTTCTAACTTATTTTGGGTTATATCATCTCCCATATTTTTTATACAATTTAAAAAAAAATCAAAAAATTAACTTTTAATCATATTCCCAAAAAGAAACCCAAATATAGTTTTAGATTTCTTTAGCATTTAATATAATTGTCTTATAAGAACCTGAAATTTATAAAGAGGCTTATCTCTTATAAAAGAGTTTTATTATAGTTATAGAAATCCAATTGGATCTAATTATATAATTGATTTATGTGTCATTAAATTTATATTTTCTCAAATAATAGTGATAAACAATATCTTGTTTAGGTTCAATTTTAATATATGATGTGTCCCAATTTTATTAAAAATAAACATGAATGATATAATTTATTAAATCAACGCAACGGTGATAAATGATATCATAAATTTAGGAGTTGTTTGGGATGACCTAAATAAGTGTATTTTTTGTCTTTTTACGAAAAGATGTGCAGAAAAGTAGAGAGATGATGTGATAGAAAAAAGATAAAAAGATGAATTATTTTGGGTATGCCAAACTTGGCCTTAATATTATTGTTATTCATAATTTCTAGTTAGAAACAAAAGGCAGAGAAAACTTATTGGGCCGCATTTGCTTTATCTTTTTAGAGTAAAGGATGGTTTGAAATGATTTAAATAAGTGTATTTTTTAAATTATTATAAAATATGAATTGAGTATGAGTTAGGTTTGAAGTGATGTGTTAGAGAGGTGATGTGACTTAAATAATGATGTGACTTAAATAGGATAGTGACTTTTTAACTTTTTTAAGTCATGCCAAATAAAGCTTAAATCCCACCGCAAAGGCAAAAGTTATCAAGGCCTATTTTGAGAAGTAAGATTTCGTTGGCCAATTATATATTTTAGTTAAAAAATTGTTATAAATTACAATATCAATTTTTTTATTTTTTATATATCTTTTTGTAAAAAATTTAAAAATTATTAAAATAAATTATTTCTAAACGAGGCTTAAATTAAAAATTTATTTTTATTTTGTTTTTTTTTAAATTATATAATAAATATAAAGATATAATATAATTATAAAAATTAACTTTAACTGTGTTATCAAAATAAATCTAAGAAAAATGCTTGGAAGTACTAAAAAGAGATCACTATTAATGATGCGACAGTAGATCCTGCCAACTTTCTATGCTTTATTATTATTTATTTTTTTATTGTTTTATCATTTTTAATAAATTAATGCTATTAATAATGTATTTTTTTAGTGATTTATAATAGTTATGAGGGGACAACATAAAATTTGATCACCCATCTTCCTTGAAAAGTAGGAGAAAAATGATTTATAAATAGAATTTTTATACATAAAAAATGATGAGAGGCTTGTAATCACAACAACGAGTATTTTACTGAAACGAAAAGTCGTAAAACATCCCATCATTTTGAATAGTATTATCATGTCAAGTACACATCTGTCAAAAAAAGAGAGCTAAAAGCGAGCTTGTGGTTGGTTGATGGTGCAAGACAACTAATTAATAATTACTCAAATAATGGGTCATGATTTTTTTAAATATTTCATGGTTGAAAATTGTCGTAGTAGGGCGGTACCAACTCCAGGGCGGTACCAACTCCAACTACCAACGAGACCACCACAAATCCTAAAATTCTTTGGACGGCAGTAAAGCACAAGAAGCTTTGCAACATTGAATGTTTAGAGACAAGCAGCAAGTTGTTGACCTTTTAGGCCCGTTTATTTGAGATTATAAGTTGGGGATTGAAATTAATAGTGAAATGAGATTATTATATGAAATGTTTATTTTAAGAGATAAGGAAGAGATTCTCAATCCATTAATATTAGTAAAGGCCTTGAAAGAGAGATTGATAAGGAGGTGATAGAGATGGTTAAAGGGATTAGAAATTTTTTATTTTTTATATATTAGGAATTTTTTAAAAATATTAATGTTTAATTTTTTATATTTTTTTATTTGTTTTATTATTTTATATAAAAATAATTTAACAATTCCTACATTAACAACTATCATCAAAACAAACACAATTTACTTAGGCCTCGTTTGGGAACATGCTTTTTTAGTAACTTTTTGATTTTTTGGCTAAAATGTGATGTAAAAAAAACTAGTATATTTGGGATGACAAAAACAAAACATCACATCCAACCCATAATCATTACACTCTTCTCTCACAAAAAAAGCCAAAAAGTCCTTCCCAAACCAAATTTTTTAGCCCAGACTAAAATAACCCAAAAAATCAAAAAGCCAACCCACTTCCCAAACCAACTCTTAGTGGTTTTTAAGACATTTAAAACCAACTCTTAGTGGTTTTTAAGACATTTAAGGTTTCTTCTGTTTTTTTCCTTCCTCTCATTTTGATCAAAGACATATTCAAACCAAGTTTGAGAAAGTTATTTTAATAATTTTTATAAAAAAATTAAAAAAAAAAAAATATGACAACTTATAAAAATTTTTAACTAAAATATATAATTATTAAACAAGACTTCCATGTTAAAAACAAAAATGACAATTTCATTTTTTTCGTCAATATTAATAATTAATGAAAATAGGACAAAATTTTATTTAAACTTATAGAGCTTCCTGTATTTTCTTCAACTTCAAGAGAGGCCAAATTTTATATACTAGTTGTTTTGAAAAGTTAATTAAAAATTAACTTCTTGATTTTTTTTAACTTTCTTTTTTAAAAAAAACATATAAAAAAAAGTAGAGAATAAAATGACTTTTAACCAACTTCTCAAAAGAAGCCTTACTAAAATATCATGCAATAATAAAAATTTTGAATTTAAAACAAGACACTTCAATAATAATATGACAAGTGTCACATCAATAAATATGAAAAGTTTGAAAATTTATTAATTTGAATGATTACTAGTGGGCAAGAAATTAGAAGTGAAACTTTACCTTTTCTTTTCCTAGTAAATAAAATTTTCTTACAGAACACCAGATTTATGCTCTCTTCAACAAAATCAAACACTGCAAATAAAATCAGTCTCTTTAATACATATATGTAAGTTCAAACTCACTCAAGCCTTCAACAAACTCAGAAATCTCTAATACACAAACAAACTAAGAAGAAAAATACTGAGACAAAGAAATTTAAAAAATGTAGGAAAAGAAGCAGAATTGAATATAGAAATCAACAATATCTGCAAAATGAGATAATGAAAAGCAGAAAATGGTACGAGGGAATCACCATATTAGCTCCACGGATCGTCCCAGCCTTTGGGTCCCTCTCTTTTAACAAAATCTATTATGGCCTGGACAGCTTCTTCCACTCTATTAGACAAGGAATGGTTTCCCCATTCAATTTCAACTTTCTCTGCACCACCCATTGCTTTGCATAATCTGCATTGGTCGAATCAAAACTTTGTTCATGTTGGCAAAAGACACAGGGAATTACCAATATATCCTCTTTCTCTCTCTCTCTCTCTCTCTCACACACACACACAAGCGCGCGTGCATGCAGACTGAAAGACACGTGAACATTGTCTTCAAAAATAATATTAACTTTCTGATATAACTTCCAAATATTGGTTAAGAAAAAGTAAATGCACTTGCCTGTCAACTAATGCTTTCTTGTCCACGTACTCTGGCACATATTCATCAGCCATTGAAAACAAAACCTGCAGAAAACAAGCATCTTCAAGTAATTGAAACACTCACTGATGTAAACCAAGCAGAGATGACATCGTTATTATGCAAGTCAAAGAACAAATCATGCTTGATTTGGGACAGTTCAGTCATATTGGCTAGGATTGCAGATTTGCTTGCTCAAGAAGTGCTTATGTAAAAAATTTTCCCCCACCCTTCCTTTTCAGCATTTTCTATTCCCTTATTAGACTAATTGCGGAAGGAGAGTCCTATTATCAGAGAATAAAAAAAAAATGTGTAAAGTTCATATAGACATGCGCTCTATTGTGTCCATCAATTTACAACAAGCATCTATCTACAACAACCCCAAAAGAGTATGACAAAGAAATGCCTACCTGGCAAGGTGTGTTAGACATGTGTCCAAGTCTCATTCTCAGCTGATCATCACTAAGATCAGAACTAAACATGTCATCGTCCCCATTGTACGCACAAAGGGAGTGATATCTGCAATGTGCTTGGTATTTCAGCTAGGACCAAAGCCAAAAAAGATAAACACAATCTTTACTGCATACAGTATAAATAGGAAGAGAAAATTCTTGGTAGAGAAAAAAGAATTTTTGGTAGAGAAAATTCTTTGTAGATAAACACAATCTTTACTGCATACAGTATAAATAGAAAGGCTTCTTTTTTGAAATTTTTTGGCAGAGAAAATTCCGGACACTTGAAGAGAGAACAATTCCTTAAATGATAGAACTTGATACAGAAAAAAGAATTCTTTTTTATTTAATTGTGGCCAAACAACTTGTTCAGTTCAAGTACAGAGCAGAACAAGTCTTAAAATTTTAGTATGTTCATGAAAAGGTATACCAGAAACTGAAACTGCCACTAGAACAGCCAAATTTTGGGGAAAAACATATCTGTTTTTTTAACAATACTTTTTATTTCATTATTTGCATCAGTAAACATATCCCAAAATTCTGAGGGCAATGGTAACAAGTTGGCATCGGTTCTGCCACAATTTAATACAACATCAATAGTAGTAGACAAATATGAGAATTTTTAATCACCTTCAATTGCGTGATTGTATTAGTATCATCAGTTTATGCGCACCAACTTAGCGAACCGTTAGTTTGTTTTACAATTACACCAGACAAAGTAAAGATCAGGTTGAATTGTCTAATAAGTAGTATGTTGGGAGAAAAGAAGTCTTACATTTTTAAATGAAATAATAGCTTGATTCTTTCTTAATCATTGTCGCTTATTATGAATTTTATTCTAAAAAGTTGACAAAAGGAACCACTACAAGAGTTTCTCTCTCCAAGGGGTGGTCAACTCGCCAGGCATTTCTATAAGATATCCCGCTCAAATTGAAAAGAAAAAAAAAATTCACAACCTATGTGCCAAAAGTGGAACTTAACATCACAAACATAATTTTGATCAATCAATAAATTTCAAGTAATCAAAAATCTGTGCCACCTATCAACAATCCATGGCTTAACACAAATCATCCTTCATCTCTATTTATACAGGGACAGCCTGAAATATTTCGTACATTTTTTCCTCTTCTTTTCTGACTAATCATAAACAACATATAAATATTTGGAGCTCTCTTTAATGAGTAAGACAGCTCTGATCTCTACATTTTCAGATTATTCTAATTTGCACTTTTGTTGAAAATTCTACTTTGGTAAACCTTCAATGTCATAAGAGACAATAAAAGTGCAAAGAGGCCTTTCAACAGGAGTTCAAAATATATGATAAATGGCTCACTTAAGATGTAAGTGCAATCTAAGAATACATCATATTTCCAATACAAGAAAATAATGAAGGTCAGGGGAAGAAGAAAGTTAACTGGGCAAAACTTAACGAAGCAATAGAAAGTTTTTTTAAAAATAGAATACATCCTTAAGCCACCTTTACTTATCAAATAAAAAAAATTATATTACACTTACCTAGAGGCAGTGATTGGGGCATCTGGATTTGCTTCCCTTGGCATTAATTCTGATGCCCGACCTTCACTTATCATTGTTGAAGCCAAGTCAATCATAGCAGCTGTTTCAGGAAGAGTTGCCAGATATTCCCGGTCACTTACCGGAGCCTAGACAATCCAATTAAAATTATGACAAAAGCTGCAATTAATGCCATATCCAGGCATAAAGCAATAAAATAAAATTTTTCTATCAGCTAAATAAGACAGTTTGCACACCAACTATCAAATATTGATTGAAAGTGAAAAGTTTTTTCAAGCTTTCAAAAGTTTCTATTAACTACGGTATATATAAGTATTTGTGCATGTCCCCTGGAACTGGGATGATACATGTGAGTGTGCTCTTTGAAACATGAGAACCAAGATTGTTCAAACACACACTGTGTTCTCATTTTATATAAGACCACATAAATAGTTTATCTAACTTCTCAAAACAATAGAAACAATCACCATTCCCAACTTGCAAAGAGTAAATAAAGTTTGGCTCAGTGAACAGTGTCACAAAAAGCTTCTTCTATTTATTTGAAATCACTTTCTGATAACTCTCAATAATTCAAAATCAGACCAAATCACTCCCAAATGGTTGCCAATGGCAGTGGTCGGCAGTAGGCAATGGGCTGGTCAGTGGTGGTTGAATGCAGGTTAAGAATGCTGGCTAGTCATCAGGGGTTGTAGAGAATGGTGGGTATAGAAAGAACAAAATGGGTCTGGTTGAGTATGGTGGTAGTGTTGGTATTTTGTGGGGTGGGTAGAGAAAAACGAGATTTGCCAAACTTTTTATGGTGGGTGTAAAGAGAAAGTCGGTGTATGTTTAGAATCACCTAGATTAATTGTCAAAAATCTCAAGGGATGTTTGTGTAATTATCCCTAAAAGAAAAAATTCACTGTGACAAACTGATAAAGTTGCAACCACTAACTTTTCAGCTTCACAGAAGTATGCATGACACCCGGAACTTTCACAAATTAGAGCACACAGAATAACTGAATTTAGATAGGTAAATTACCTGGAAGATAGCAGCACGCACTGCTCTAGAGCATGCAGCATTTGTCCGCATGTAATATACAATATCCTACATATGCATTCAACAATAGTTGGCTAACTTTATTTTCTCATTAACTGTGAGTAATCAGTTTCAAACTGAACTTTATATGCTTGCAAGTGTTTTTAAAAGAGGGCACCCACCTGACAGCCAGTACTATGGCCAAGCAATACCACACCCTCAGAATCTTCCTTGTTTATTAAGTAATTGATCAATTGGTCAAGTTCGACGGCATCCTGTAACAAAACCATTAAGCAGAGAAAACATAACACTCTGGACACTGATGAGCAATTATAAGACGTCAAATAAAATTTTATGAAGACTGACATTCGTTCTAAGCAACAAAGTCATGATAATCAAGATAACATAACACTCCATAAAACACGTATATTTACTTTTATATGTATAGGTCTCCATATGTGAAATACATTCTAATGTAATTCTTGAGAAAATGTTAGATCAATTTCTCCACATTGAACCATGTAACACTGTCATCCTTGCAAAAACATACTAGTAAGTATTCCTACTTGTCCATGACCTTCAATGTTTGGTCCCTAATCTGATTGAGCTCAGACATTGCAGCTTTAAGGCGGAAGACACTTTAGTGATTAGAGACAAAATTTTGAATTCCATGTGAGATGATCCACTCTATTGAGCGAAGAAAGGAAAATCCATTCTTATGGAGGTCAACAATGACCTTTAAGAAGGCATGTCTTCATGAGCACGTCTTTATGAACAATTGTCGGTTTTGGGTCCTTTCTTCTCTAATAGGAAATAACATAAATGCCTCTAACATCAAAGTGGCACTTGAAAAGAAATTTCATCTCATGAAATTTATTCCTATCACGAACACAGGCATTTAACTCGTCTCACTGTTTTCATTCACAACTAGAGAAATGGAAAGCAGTTAATATATCTAGAACAGCCCATAGCACTGCTCATCTCCACCCAAATAACCAAGCAATGATAGAAATTAGAAGTTACTTGTTTCAAGCTTGAGATGCCATATCCGCTATAAGAAGATGAGAGCAGAAACTGAACTAGAGACCATTTCTCTTTATCCAAAGCAATTGCCAGAGGTTCCAAGTATCTGCATAAGGAAATAAATCTCCTTTAAAAAATGCAAATACTACATACGAATTCCTTTCACATACACGTCAAAGAATTAATTCTTAGCATCAATACTATGGTACAAATTTTCTTTAAGAGCAATCTATCATATTTGGTGGGGCGTATACTATTTCATGTGGTCATATTATAGATGAGGAATCCACATACATGGTAGAATGTTCCAAGATTTTTTTTGAGTACTGCATATTTCCAAGATTCATGTCTTCTACTAATAAAAAAAGGTAGCCCCGGAGTTTAGAAGGCCTTAAGAATAGCCAACAATATTTCAAAATGCTGAAAATTTTTAGGTAGCGTCAAGAAACTATTTTACAGTCCAACTTGTCTATGATAAATACTCCTAAATTACAATGTGATGGTAGATGTCACAACACTATTTTTCCCTGCAAGTTGAACATATATTGGGACATTACATTCACTAGTCATAACAAAAAAAAATTCAACAACTTCACAAATTTTGTTCTCTACATCAAATTTATCAAAAAGAGATAAGCCCTTAATAATCCTTAGGATCTCACACTGTCACCAAACTACAAGAAGAATGTGTTGTATGTTGTATGCCTGTTGAATTCATATTGTTCAAGTGCATTAGGTTAAAAGCTGCTCTCACATGAACTTTTCCATTAAAAAAAACACTCCACTTCACCTAACCCACTATCACCTCCACTACACCTACTACCACATTTTCTTCTATATATAGATTGTATAGGAATTGTAATTTCAATCAATAATAATACATCAGTTATTTTTACACATTCACTAGTCATAACAAAAACAAATTCAACAACTTCACAAATTTTGTTCTCTACATCAAAATTATCAAAAAGAGATTAGCCCTTAATAATCCTTAGGATCTCACACTGTCACCAAACTACAAGAAGAATGTGTGTTGTATGTTGTATGCCTGTTGAATTCATATTGTTCAAGTGCATTAGGTTAAAAGCTGCTCTCACATGAACTTTTCCATTAAAAAAAAAGTCACTGTAAAGAATTTAAAGAAGCTTAAAGGTCTATGGTGAAAAATATCACTCCATTAATACTGAAAATAAACTTAGCTCCTCTTGATAGTGGCACTTGTTTATACACTCACTGAATTTAATTGAGAGAGAGAGAGAGAGAGAGCATAACCTTGCAATGTGTAGGATATTATTAATTTTTTCGTTTTTGACAGATATTAATAAGATAGCACTAATAGGTGCCAACAGTCACGACAAATACATGCTCAATGCACATAACATATTCATAAATTGAAATCGAGAGAGCATTGGACATACTCAGTAGCCAAAAATCCATCAGTTAATCCGCCAATAAAAATGACTTGTTGTTTATAATCACCTGTTTTGAATGCAACCTGCACGAAGAACAAGAATATCATGATCATCATAGAGAAAGATGGTAAAACAAACAACCTAACCACGAAGGACCACAACAGAGCACAAGTAATAACCCTACAAAAATACAAGAATTTTCCTTATAAACATATTTTGTAGAAATAATGCATGGATTCAGTAATTGACCAGCCATTATATAAATGGCTCAGTAAAAGTAGCGTCCCCAAGTTCTTACCCATGGTGAAGGTGAATGCGAAAAATAACAAATTTTGTAATAGAAACCCATTGGGGCCCAGTTGTTTAAAAGTGATACAATTTCTTCAATTGCAAATTGAGCACCACTAATGACAACAACCAATTTTGTAAAAGAGATTACTACTATGGAGAAGGCGCATGCTAATCACGTGAACTGCAGAAGGTGGAGGAGGAGGAATTTGTTAGATAGCTTGATATACATTGTTGTGCCCAGTTCCTAACAGCTTAGAGCTCTGATTCAGAGAGGTCTTGGATTCAAGTCTCTTTATTAGCATTTAGTATCATGTCCCCCGTTTGGTTTCTCCCTCTCCGTTTGGTTGTTTGCTTATCCTTCTGTTTGGTTCTAAAAATCCAATCTTTTCAACCTTGTGTAATCATTAATACCCAAGATAAATATTTACATAAACCTCAAACTTTGAGACAGGCAAGGTGTGTTTTAAAACTTGTTGTGTACAAAGGCTTTGGCTTCATTAAGCTTATATGGTACCTGATTAACTTTCCCATAACCCTAAACCTACTTGCAAAGCAACTTGGTAATACATTAAAAAACGATAGCTACATGAGCAAATAGTTTTTAACCTTTTAGATGAACAGCCAAGCAATTTTGCCTCCTTCAAGTTCTCATATAACAAACCAATGTAAAACATTTCTTTAACTCATGAAAGTCAAAAAATGGCACTGAACAACAAATATTCTACAGGAGCAAGCAAATAAGACACTCAATTGCCTTGGTTCAAGAATGCACGAAATCAGGTTTGACCTCAAATGCTGCAGTTTACTTAAACATCCAAGATCATGAACCTTTCATTTCGAATAGCATACAGAATCACCAAAACTAATGAATATGAATGTCAATAAATGATAATGCATATCATTTCTTTTGAAACTTTGCATTCCTAAAGATACAAGAATTCCATTATCTGTCATTTTAAAGTAGGTTACTAAGCTATATCAACAAAGAACGCACACTTGGGAGCCATAAGAACCATAACAAATTGGTTTCTCAATAGCATTACGAATTCAACCAAAAAAATTCCAACAATCCTGTGCTGCATACGCAGATGTAGAAGGCATTTTTAATAAATATCTCCTAATAAACAACTAATACCCATTATTCTGCAGCAAGCAGAAATGGGGTTCTCACATGATTTGATTCCACAACCAGTTGAAAATTCTCAAGTGCATTTCATTTCATTTCATTTTATTTTTTATTTTTTATTTTTTTTGTTTTTTGTTTTTTGTTTTTTGTTTTTTGTTTTTTGTTTTTTGTTTTTTGTTTTTTTATGGGGAAAATTGTTTCCAAAACTTATTTCATGTAAATTTGCTGAGACCCTCTTCTTGTTCCTAGCCTCCTATCAAACTTGCACCTTTAATAATATCTTAATATCATATCGATCAAGGCTTTCCTTTAGTTTGATTGCAGGTAGTGGTTTCAGACAATTCCTTCCGCTAAGCGGTTGCACCAAGTCTTCCTTGGCTCTCCTCTCCCCTATATCTTTTGTTTGAGATGAGCTTAAGTTCCGCCCAATTTTGTTTCCACCACATTTATTTGTTCATAGTAAGATTAAGTACATTTTTGTTAATGAAAACATGTTTCAATGGTACTTTCCGTTTGCAGATTCAAATAAAGCACATATTGTTCATATTCCAAGCACAATTGTGAATCAGATTTCCATATAGGCTACACCGTTTCAAAAATTCAAATATAATCACAGTGATTTCAGAGAGAATTTCTCAGACCTGAATAGGTTTGGGACCGTACTTGAACATGACCCCTCGAAACTGCTTCTTCCGATTGATAGGGCCAACGGAGTCGGCGGGGTTGTTGGCCATTTTAAGGCTGCTGGAGCGATCCACACGGCCGCGAACAATGCCGGAAAACCAAGAGGTTGGTGGAGCTGAAGACGATGAGTTCGATGAGAGAGAAGATGAAGTTGGCGATGAGAGATCCATAACCTAGGCTCTCAATCAACATCGTCCATATCACCACCACAACCGACTTCCTAGTAATTGTAGACCAATATATATATATATATATAGAGAGAGAGAGAGAGAGAGAGAGAGAAATTCAAAAGAACTTGAGAACAGTGATGAATAATGGTTACTCCTCTGTATATATACAGAGAGAGGGTATATTTGTAGGCTTGCAACAGAGAGTATATCCTTATCGGGTCTGTAAATTAATTAATAAACTTTTAAATATATAAAACATTTTTTTGATTCCAAATAAATGAAATTTTAAAAAAATAATTAAAAAATAATTAAAATTAGAGAGACTTACATCTAAGGTGCCTTAATGTTATTTTAGTTTATAAAATATCTATTTTATACTTCTTTATAATATACAGTTTTTAGTTTTGAAAACTGAAGATTACGTTTCTATTTTTGTAGGAGATTAAGTTAGGATGAACTTGATGATGGAGATTTTGATGATGCAGATTTTCGTGGAGATTTTGTAGGGATTTTATAGTCGTGTAGAAGTTGATTTTCGTTGATCGTATAGAAGTTAATTTTCGCTGATCGCGTAAAAGTTTATTTTGTAGTCATATAGAAGTTGATTTTCGTTGATCGTGTAGAAGTTGATCTCGTAGAAGTAGATTTACAGTGAAGTTGAATCAGATACGTTTTTTTATTTTTCATTTGATTTGTATATAAGGACTTCGATTTCAGATAAGTTTTTCTACTGTATTTTGAATTAAGTTTTTGTTTTCAGTTTTGATCAATGTGAGAGAAAAGTGAGCTCAGTGTAGTCGTTTTTTATTTTTCAAGTTGATTTTTCATCCTTTGTTATTGACGATGGAATTTTCTGCACTTTCCTCAGTTTTGTGCGTTGTTTTTTTTCTTTTTTTGCACTTTTGATTTTTCTGCACTTTTCTTTGTATTCTAGAGAAAATTGTATATTTGTTATTATAATCCAACGAAAATCACAGAGAAAATTGTAAGCTTGTAATCCAGTGAAAATTGTAAACTTGTGGTCCAGAGAAAATTGGAAACTTGTAGTCCAGTGAAAATCACAGAGAAAATTATAATTTCATAACAAATTTTCTCTGTGATTTTTGTGAGTGATTGTGTTTAATAGTTAGCATTAATTTTCTGTGTGATGTTCTATAGACTCATTCATTTTCTTGGTGATTTTATTTTTGTTATATTGAAAGTGAATATAAGTTCGTAAATTTCTTTGGATTTTAATTTGAGTCCAATACTACACAATCACACAGAGAAAATTATAATTTCATAACAGATCTTCTGTATGATTTTTGTCTATGATTGTGTTTAATAGTTAGCATCAGTTTTTCTCTATAATTTTCTCTGGACTCATTAATTTTTTCTGTGATTTTGTTTTTGTCATCTTGAAGTTGAATTATACGTTTGTAAATTTCGTTGAACTTTTACTTGAGTCCAAAGAAAATTATAAACTTCTTATTATAATACATAGAAAATTATAAAAAAAAACACAAATTTCTCTAGACATGTATGTTGTTCTTGTGAAGTGTTTTTATATTGAACAAGTTATTTTTCGTATTCTTTCTTTCAGTTTAGATGAACAGTACAATATTGTTGCTGTACAAATATAGGAAAGATACTATTGTCATTAATGTTTCATGCGAATTGAATTTTGAGAAATTGGTTGGTATTTTGTGTAAAACATAGAAGAATTTGAAACCTGAGACGATGTGTATTTCATATTCTATTGTGGGCCATCCGAATTGTATGTGTAAGAATCAGAATTTTTAGACAACTAATTAGTTTGTTAATAATAATATTAAGTCAATCAATAGTGATTATTAAACTATTAAATTATAATGTTAATAGCATCTGTACGGGAAAGAAATAAACCTTCTCGTATAATCCTGTTGATCAAGTCTGCGCTCCTCCGTACGACGTCGCTTTACTTCCTGAAAACACAAGCGTGAGCTAGCCGGCGAGTGTGTGCCGGAAACCCCTCCGATGCCTAAGTCAGAAAAACAGACAAGTAGACAAGAAGCTCTGTGAATTCGAGAATCAAAATTGTATTACCTCTCCATAGGTGATGTTTGTGAGCTTTTATAGGTTTTGCGTGGCACAATCCTAGTAGGACTTTTACTCCTCCATGCAGAGTCCTCATAGGATTCATACCCCTGAAGGATAATGCTTATCCTTCAACACCCCCCTCACTGCTTAAACCAAGTGAGATGGTCCTTTTATGGCCGGCCTACCATATGACCGAAGTAATCACGACTATGCTTAGCCGAACTATACTATTTCGGTTCTCTGCCCATAGTTTTCTACAAACCATGGTATGCCCAAAACCGAACTATCTTTTATCAAGGTTTAGACCGATCTAGTTTCATTGCGCCATGACCGGTATAAGTTCAAAACATCCTTAAACCGGTCTAACTACAAAGCGTCCTTTGACCGGACTGACATCAAGAGTCCCTCGGACCGGTCTACCTTCGGGCTTGAGACCGGGCTAACTTTAAGCCTCTTCAAGACCGGAATAACTTTATGACCTCTTTACTCAGCCCTTCGTACTGAGGCCCATAAAGGCCCAGCTCGGCCCAATTCATATATAAATTACCCTCTCAATTGCCCCTTAATTCCATCTGCGTAGCATGATGGGGATTACCTGTCTATAAAACCGGGCTAAAGTTTTACCTTTTCAGCCGAGCTAAAAAAAAACCCTTTAGCCTTTCCAGCCGAGCTAAAACTCTGAAGCCTTTAAAGCCAAGCTATACACTTTTAACCCTTCCAGCCGAGCTAAACTTAAGCCGAGTTGTGCTTGTTCGGTCACAACGTCCCTTCAATCACAAACTGAATTGATTCTCATCCCTATGACACGTGGCATGCTAGTATTGGCTTACTGCAGCTGTCGCGCCACCCTCGTACTCCGCAAAATTTGAACAGTCCCGTGCGTTTTCGTCCTTCTTATATCCCAAAACAACACTTTCGTCCTTTGAATCAGCCTCATCAATCATTTTACTGTTTCAAGCTCTTCTCTCTCTTTCTCTCTTCTAAGCTCTTACTGTTTTTTATATTTCGAAGAAGTTGCGTGTTCTTGCTATTGTTGCTACTTCCACTTCTATCTTCTTGTGCCTCTGGACCTGGTAAGCATTATAAATCTGTTTCTCTATTTTTGTTTCTGCTTTTGTATAATCCATACCATACTATGTTTGAAAAACACTTTTTCCTGCTAGTTCCTGCATTTTTCTGAAAAAACCTTTTAAGAACCACTTGAACCACTTGAACTTCATGAAGTAGTCTATAGAACACTGTGTTTGATCCAAAATTACAATATAACCGAACTAAAAAGTAGTTTGTAGTTGATGCCACACTAATCTAACTATACGACCGAGCTAGCACTTCATATTCATACTAGCAATTTCAATAAGTCAAACCATCCTTTGATTTACCTCAGCCGGGATAAACGAACCGAACTAAGTCTGAACTTAGCATACTGGAAACCTTAACTTTCGTCCGAGCTAGGTCTTTGGGGCTAAGCCAACTTTCTAAGTTTTTAGACCGAACTCAGAAAGCTGCCCCTAGAGGCTCAATCAGTCTAACAGAGCCTTCTCTTTAACCGAGATAACGAATCGCTCGCCAAGACCGAGCTATCGAACCCCCTGCTCAATCCGAGCTACCAAGCATCTTGTTAAAACCGAGACAGAACCTGTAGCATCCCACATAGCCGAAGTAGGACTCATATTCTTGCTTTTATTTTGTAACACGGTCCAATGATCTGTGCTTAACCCCTTTGTTTTTCACTTTGCAGACTTAGGTTGCCCAGGCACTCCACTGTGCGCTCAACCGAGCTACTGAGCACAATTTTGCGACTGAACTAATTTATTCGTAACTTAAAAAATAAATGGGAAAGTATAGGTTTTTGGTAGAAACCCCTGGTGGCCTGGCCGAATTCCGAAGGGATTACAACATCCCTGACGACGTCCAACTCATTCTGGCCGAACAAGATATCGTTCCATGGGGAAAAGAGGGCTATGTACTTTTCACCCTCCTATCAATAATAGAAACCAGACTAAGATTCCCCATTCAACCCTTGATTTGTGAATTCCTAAGACAAACCAGAATATGCCCAACTCAGCTTTCCACAAATTCTTACCGTATAATAATGGGAATAACCGAACTAAATCGCCGAGCCGGTCTTAACCTCGGTCTAGCAGAAATATTCCACCAATACTCCATTGGCTCCAAAGATGACGGCTGGGTCTACTACCTTAGGATACGCCGTCGTAGAGAAAAAATAATAAAAGATACGCCGGATAAAGACTTAAACGATGACGATTTTTTCTGGGTATCTGGGAATTTTGAAGACCACCAAGCCCAGATCCCAGGCCGAAGTATGAATTGGAATAAAGGAATCCCTCGTGTACTTTACTTCGGTCACTTTTCATGCTTCTCTTTATTTCGCTTACTTGCTCTTGAACCGAACTAACAATTGTTTTCATTATGCAGATTCAGCCCATCTTCAACCTTTGTATAGTTACCCCAACCTGAACACACTTCGCAAAGCACTACGTTTTTCCACAAAGAAGTTGGGCCAAACTTCTTAATTTTGAGCCGACATACCGTTACAGCGGTCGCCGAAAAGCCAGAGTAACTGACTTTCTGTTGGAGGACACCCCCGAACCAAACCCAACCTTGCCACAAATTAGACTAATCCCACTGACTGCTGAAGAAGAAATGGCCAAGAGAAACAGAGTCAGGGCCCTCTTGACAGAGACAAACATGGCCGATGTACCACCACCAAACCAAACACAAGAAACCGTAGTGGCCCTACCATCACAACAACCCTCCTCATCTCGCCGAACTAAGCGCGCCCGTACTTCCCAGACCGAACAACACTTAGTTGATGAAGACAAAACCACTCTGCCACCAAGCTCTCCACCGAGCTCGCAATCGGAGCACGCTGTCCGAGCTAGCTCTTCCACATGGGCACCCAAACTGACTTTCCAGAACCGTGATATTCAGGACACTGATTCAGTTGTTGCTGAAAAAGACCATCTGATGGCTTTCAACCTTGCCAAGAGTGTGTGCCTCCCAGCCG